ACATGCTTACTTTTACCAACATCATCAACATGATTTATAACTTATCTTAATTTAACTTGATCAACTACTTAATTCATCATACATCATATCTCCCAATTTTTAGATATTGGCTTATACTAAATTTTCACTTAATTAACTTGAAAGTGAAAATAATCTCAAGCCATAATCATCTTTTAATCATAACTTTTAATCTTGATATTAATATGTCATAATTAATACAATCTTTATAAAATTGTATACTCAACATATTATACCAAAACTTCATCAAATTACTCATCACTTATATGAGAATTATTCATGATCATCTCATTTTAAACTTAACTTTAACATATGTACTCTCCACATATATATAAAGTTACCATAAAATTTCACTTTAAAATAATACTCATATATTAAGATATATTATTTCAAAGTTGAAAATATAACAAAATATTCAACTAACTTGTATGCTTGCTTTTAAAAATCTATATCTCATGCTAAACAAGTTCAATAAAGATAAAATTTAAACTGGAAGTTCTTAACTAATATATGAATTGACCATAAAATTTCCAACTCAAAATAATATCAATAGATAGGGTAATTAAATACTACAAGTCATCATTACTACACAGATTTTTCACTGGACAGCACCTTAATCAATGATTTTTATAAAATTCATTTTAACTTCAAATAATCTAAAACTTTCCAGTATTATTCTCAGCATAATGATGATCTCATATAAAAAGTTTCATAATTTTTGGAATTTAATAGCTTTGTCAAAAACAACAAACATAAGCAGCTGCAACATGAACTTTAAATAATCTTACTTTATAATCTTATTTTATATACTTATATATATAAAATTTATAATTTCTAAACATGATAACATATCAAAATCACATATAAACACTTATAACTCTTAGCTATAATTGATGATATCAAAGTTTGAATACATACCTCTTCTATTTATAAGAAAAGAAACTTGCTCCAAGTATTTCTTGAAATTGCTCGGTTTCTCTCTTAAAAACTCGATTCTTACTATTTCTTTTTCTTATAACATAAAAATCTGAATTTTTGTGGTGTAATTCTACCATTGATGAATGCTCCTATTTATAGGAAAGTTTTAGGGGACAAATAGCACCAAGATTGAATTAAATATCATTTAAAATACTAATTTCTTCAACAAATATGCTAAATAATGTCCCCCTCTTAATATTTAATTCAGTTGACTAATATTATTAAATTTATCAGCTCAATTAATTGCATAAAATAACATAAAAATGAGTCATCATTAATATAAAAATTAAGATGCTTCAAATGATGAAGATTCTACAAAATAAAAATAATTTCCACAATTTTTTTTTTCTTTTTAATTTCGAATTTTCTAATAAAATCAGAAAATAATTTTAAAAAATAATATCTCTAATATATAAATCATTTACAAATGATTTAATGAGGAAAAACATGCTTAAAAATAACATAAACACTTTTATTTTTCTAATAATAGCATAAATTGTGAAAATTCACAATTAATTAAAATTATGCTATTCTTAATCTTTAAAAATCCATAATAACTAAACTTTTATGCTTACTAAAATTTAGATATCAATAATAAAATTTTCGGAATCAAAATCGGAGTTAAATTCCATTTACGATTGAAAACCGAAGATTTTATTATAATCTCTACTATTCTCGATTATGATTTTTTTTTAACTTAATCTTGAAATACTTTACGTATTATCTATACTAAATTAATCACTCTTACTGATTTACCTTATAACTTTTTACTGCGGTAAATGAATTTTACTGTGGTAAACAATTTTTACTGCGGTAAATAATTTTTACTGCGGTAAATAAATTTTTACTGCGGTAAATAATTTTTACTGACTTACTAAAATATGGGGTATTACAGTTGTGTTTCTTGTGCTTTACGTAGATGACATACTGCTTATTAGAGACAATAAGAAGGAGTTATCAGATGTAAAGGTGTGGTTGTCTAAGCAGTTTGATATGAAGGACTTAGGTGAAGCAGGACACATTCTTGGTATTAGGCTCATTAGAGACCGTAAGAAGAGAATGTTTTGCTTATCCCAGTCTTCATACATAGATACTATCTTGGCCAGATTCAGCATGCAGGATTCTAAGAAAGGTATGTTACCTTTCAGACATGGAATACCTCTATCTAAGAAGATGTCTCCTAAGACATCTAAGGAGATAGAGGAGATGAAGACAGTTCCTTATGCTTTAGCAGTAAGAAGTCTTATGTATGCGATATTGTGCACTAGGCTGGATATTAGCTACGCCGTTGGCATGGTAGCTAGATATCAAAGCAATCCGGGAAGGGAACATTGGTCTGCGGTGAAGCATATACTCAAGTACCTGAGAAGGACTAAGGAGTACATGTTAGTTTACCTTGTAGATAGCTTGTTACCTCTGGGTTACTGTGATTCCGATTTTCAGTCAGATAGGGATGAAAGTACGTCAACCTCAGGTTATGTGTTTACCTTGGGAAGTGGAGCCATTTCATGGAGGAGTGCTAAGCAGAAATGAGTGGCAGACCCCACCATGGAAGCCGAGTACATAGCAGCCCCAGAGGCAGCGAAAGAGACAGTTTGGCTAAGGAACTTCGTAGTGGACTTAGAGGTTATACCGAGTTTGCCACGTGGTGTCACCGTGTACTTAGATAACAGTGGAGCAGTAGCGAACTCAAACGAACCTCGAGCCCATAGAGCAAGCAAACACATAGAGCACAAATACCATCTGATTCGGGATATCGTTGGTAGAGGAGACGTTGATGTTGGCAAGATTGCATCAGAGGACAACCCAGCTGATCCTTTCACAAAGAGTTTGCCGGGAAAGATCTTCGTCAAACAAGTGAAATGAATGGGATTCATGAGCATGGCAATAGGATCGACATAGGTCTTTTAGAATAACGGATTGATAGGACTATACTGTAAAAGCGAAAGCTTTAAGTATAAGTGGGAGATTGTTAGTGTTATATACTGAAAGTTTGGCTTTGCATGTTATTACACATTTGCCCTTTATAATGAGAATCATGTTAGATTAAACAAGTTCTACGTTCTGTTGTTCTGCACTTAGATGGAGTGGGTCGTCATCGGGTGAACCGAAGATCACTCTATCAGTTACTTGCGAACAAGAATAGTTGTTCTCAACCTAGATGGACATGAACACCCCATCCGAACGGCTGTAGTGTCAACTGTACAGTTTGTCTTGACTGATTAGTTGCACTAGTACATTTATGTATTGAACAGGATCCCAGAGAGGAGAAGTTCATTTTATACTGATCGTCGTAAATGAACTAGACCTCGGTTAATTACTGCGTTCTCTTAACCCGTAAGATATTAAACAGACAGATATATAGAATATATATTGCTTTGATTCACTTGGGTGAGGTTCAGTTCACTGGATCAATATTCCTATTGTTTTGGGTAATATTATTATATATAGGATGTGCTGTTAGGATATTTACGGTCACCATGTGCGTTAATTTGATGATGTCCCCGGAGTGAGTTCATGAAGGATTGTTATGCTAAACCCTACAGGTGGATTAAGTTCCGACATAATAAGAATGTGATGAACGAGTGCTAGCTTCGATGAAATAATAATAAAATAATTAATTCTTGATTGTCAGCAATCGAATTAATTAATGGACATTATATCTTAAACGTGGGGAGATAAATTGAGTAATTATTATTTGAGTCTCAAATGTAATTTGGGCTAGGAAAAGTGAGTGCAATAATATAATGCTATTAATTAGAAGAGTGGGCTTGGCCCACAGTTAGTCTAGTTAATTAAGAAACCCTATTTATAATCTCCTAGGGGTCCCTACTATAGCTTTATATATACATCATTAAGCTCATGAGAAGAGAAGACATCTGTCATAATACAAACACACACCCCACGCCTCTCTCTCTCTAGATCTCATTCGAACTTTATCTTCTTCTTGTTGCTCCACTGATACAAGTTGAAGAAGGGTGTATTGAGTAATACAATAGAAGATCTGTAGGTAAACCGAGATGAAATATATTTTATCGTATAGAACTAACCGGAGGTCCGATTGAGGGTGTATTTACGTTTGCTATTGAATTCGTAACTTGTACATAACGAGATCCTCGCAGATCCCAACACACCTATCGGTTCCTTGTAAGACTAAACTATTTGTTCATAGTCTAGACAGACAGTGAGACCCCTCTTGGATAAAGACTGTAGTGTATTCTTGATTCAGTTTATCTTTGACTGGAGAATTACACTAGTACTTATGATAAGTATTGAACAGGACATCGGAAGGATAGATTATGAGACTCACTGATCGTTGTTGTAATCTAGACCTTCGGTTATGGATGCATTCTCTAAAACTGTAAGATAATATAAAACGGGCATGTATATTCATTACTTATTTATTTGATTTACCAAAGGTGATTCCTATTCTGTTAGAATGACATACTCGGTACTTTGGTAATGAGGATGTTTATATGGCGTGCTGTTATAAATTATTTACGGTCACTATGTGCCAGTGTGCTGGGTTGATGACATCTCCAAAATGAGTTCAGAAATGAATATTATGTTAAACCCTGCAGGTGGATGATTATCCGACATAATGATTAATGATCTGAGTGGTACTAATTTCGAAAACGAATAATAAGTTGATTAATTATTTTGTCTGTAATTTAATTAATCGACGAACATTATATCATAAACATAGTGAGGTAAATCGGTCAATTAGATTAATATTTATTAATCAAGTGCAGTAGAATTAGGATTCCTTTGCCTAATGGGATAAGTCTATATTAGGATGTCCCTAATGGAGCCTATAAATACACCATGTCCAAACCTTTTAGAACATACTTGTGTTGATCGATTGTTCCTTCTTCCTAAGAGAGAAAGATTGTCTTCTTCGAGAGTTCGGGAGATTCAATTAATCGCACCACCAAGATTAATTGAAGTAGGTGTTTAGGTAATCCATTAGAAGATCTAAAGGTGATATATCTCAAACCTTGAAGATCTAAATATTCTGGTCACTACTCGCCGCCAACCGCCGCCGTCTGCCACCGCAAGGAGCCGCCAGAAATCGCCGCCTGCCGTGTATTGTCGCTGGAACCCTGCACAAGCCCAGCCGCATGCAACTGCGAGTACCAACCCGTAACCGCACGTTGTCGAGCCACTCGCAAGGTCCCAGCGACGCAACGCGACACTCAGTACCACCGCACATCACCGGCACACCGTCCCTGCTCGTGATCTGCGCGACCCGACGTTCGAGTCTCAGCGCGCGTCATTTTCGTGCTCGAACAGGAGTCCTCGCGCACACAGAAAACATGCCGTGCACGAACCATGTGACCACACACGCCGCGCAGGCCTAGAATCGCTGTCCCGCACACGTCCGAGCAACCCGCGCCAGCCAGCGTTCGTACCGCCTGTCCGCAGGTCCCAGCCACACGACGCGCACTATCTAGTCCTGATCAACACCCGTCCGCGACCCGCGACCAAGATCGAAGCGTTGCACCTTCCGACCGAGACGAACCGACCCGATCCCAAGAAGTTCGATCCGGTGATCCGTTCGTGTTTCAGCAACTTGATCAGATTCGGGAAAGGCCAAACCCATCCGCCTATTGAGTTGTGGTAATCAGACGATCTCCATCAACGAAAATTAAAAATGTGTCTGAGTCGGCAAAAATTTTAAAATGTCATGTCCTAATCCTAAGTATAGATTCCGTTGCGTTAGGATTTATTTCGATAAGTTCAATACTATGCATGTCGTTGACGTTCCTAATAGAACCCAACAACTGGTATCAGAGCCCAGATTAATTTAACTTTGTGCACAGTTTGAATTAGGACTTGCTTGTGTATATGAATTAATTGTGTACGGACGCAGCGACATAGTAGATTAGAAATTGCAAATTGTTTGTAGGTGATTTCGAATCCGACTATTATGGCCCGTATGTATGTTTTAATTAATGTATGAATGTATGGTGTTTTATAAGCCTCGGACATGTCGGGGAGTTTTTGTCTTGGTGAATGCTTGTTACAAATTATTCGTGTGGTGGGACATCGCATAGTTTACTGCTTTCATAGAAAACTCATGTACGACTCCTGCGCAGGTCATAGGATGAATTATGTAATTGTTGTTTTATATTATTCATTATTGATCCGGTGGATGTGGACCAATCTCGACGAGGCGAGGTGATAAATACACAGACAGGTGCCATGGTGATGATCCAATGGCGCCTTTCCCGGAGACGACCTATTCAGAGTGAAGAGTGAGAGTCACTACGAAAGGGGAGTTCCAATTCCTGAAACGGAAGGCACGTTCAACAAAGGACAGAACTGTGTTTCTCCGTAATATTGGAGATTGATTAATGGCCATGATAGTTGGATTATAGTTCCTAGTTTATTATTGCCTATTAATCATACATGTTCTTATGTGATTTAATTGCTCTATGTGCAAGTTAAATTATTAGAAGCATGACTACGAAAATCCCTTAAAATAAAAATTATATTAAGTGTCTAACGGGTTGAAATAAATTCCATATGAGGCCTCCATTATAGGTTTGTCAGTGAAGTGATTTAAATCGAGCCTAAAGGACGTTTTATTTCACAGTTCACAAGGACAAATCTCCTTTGGGATGGTAGTAGCGAGCTATTTCAAAAGCGTATGGGTCACCCAAAGGTGGACGTATAATTTTGGTAGTAAACTTAGTACCAATTAATGGGTTACACTTAAAATGTAAATAATTACGATATTCTCAAAGGAAAAGGTTGTTTTTATTTTTGCGCTGGCCAAAAGTTGAACTGACTATTAATTAAGTATTGTTTGATGGAAAAGGAACTTAGATATAGTGTTAACTGCTGAAGGGTACAAATTTGCTACTGTTGAGGCTTGTCCGGATGTGCCTGCTGACAATGTGCCAGACCAAGATAAACAGGCGTATGCTAGGTGGAAAAAGGCTGACGAGATGGCGAAGTGTTACATCTTGGCATCTTTGTCAAATGTACTTCAACATCAACATCAGTCTATGGACACTGCAGTAGAAATGCTCCTCAATCTCATCGAGTTATTTGGCCATCAGTCGCGGGCTGCCTGACAAGAAACTATGAGGGTTCTGATGAATATGACCATGCATGAAGGCACTCTCGTGAGGGAACATGTTCTTGCAAATGGAGGTTCTTGTGGCTTTTATTGACGGGGAAACTCAGGTCGATATAGTGCTCCAGTCTTTGCTGAAGAGCTTCGAACAATTTCGGTTGAATTATAACATGAATAAGATGTTGATGACTCTTCCGGAACTTGTTGCTGAACTTCTGTTGGCAGAGGGCCTGTTTCGTCACAAATCCCAAGCGATGGTTGCCCAACGGGGTGAGGGTTCCTCTTCTAGGCCTCCTAAGGGTAAGAAGAGGGAGAAGTCCGCATGAAAGGGCAAGACGATCATGATGCGCGACCTCAGCAAGCAGCAAAGAAGTCGAAGGGACACTGGAAGGCCGACTGCTCTCTCCTCAAGAAGGGCGATAAAAGGTACATATTTTTCATGAGTCGTTGAAACATGTTCAGCGGTGCTATTTACCAGAACCTGGTGTGTAGATATAGGAGCCACTGATCATGTCTGAAACTCTCTACAGGGGTTCCAAGAAACTAAACGGCTTAAGGAAGGAGAAGTTACCATCTACATGGGCGATGCTAGTAGAGCGTCAACAGTTGCAGTTGGAGACGTCCATTTAGATTTTGGTTTAGATAGAACTTTGGTTTTTAATGATTGTCTTTATTTTTCTAGTTTTAGAATGAATTTGATTTTAGTTTCTAAGTTGTTTATGAACGGTTTTTTTCTATTTTTGATAATAAAGTTGTTATTCGTTTTGGCAAGAAGTTCATATGTTCAGGTTCATTAGAAGACAATTTATATATTCTAGAACCAAAGTTATCTTCACTGCAATAGAAACAATTACTTAATTCATCATTTAATCTAAATAAGAGAAAGGAACCTTCGAAAATGAACGAAACATATCTTTGGCATCTAAGACTTGGTCATATAAACCTTAGGAGGATTGAAAGGTTGGTAGCAGACGGGCCCTTGGGGTCGTTAGAACTCGAGGCTTTTCCAACTTGTGAGTCTTGTCTGGAAGGAGAAATGACTAAGACGGTTTTTAAATCAAAGGGGAATAAAGTTGAAGATTTTATAGGGATAGTTCATTCCGATCTATGTGGTCCTATGACTGTTCAAGCGAGAGGTGGTTTCGAGTACTTTGTTACGTTTATCGATGACTACTCGAGATATGGGTATATTTTCCTATTGCACCGCAAGTCTGAATTCTTTGAGAAATTCTTAGAGTACAAGGCAGTTGTGGAGAAGCAGTTAGAAAAAATCATCAAGTCACTACGATCAGATCGTGGTGGCGAATATCTCTCAAATGAATTTAGGAACTACCTGACGGATAATGGGATTACTTCCCAGCTAACTGCGTCGAGCACGCAGCAGCAGAACGGCGTGGCAGAGCGAAGGAATAGGACTCTTATGGAAATAGTTAGGGCAATGATGAGTTATAGTACATTACCAGATTCGTTTTGGGGATGTGCCCTAGAAACAACAGTATACATTCTGAATAGAGTACCTTCTAAATCAGTATCATCTACACCATTGGAGTTGTGGTCTGGGTACAAGCCTAGTCTAAGACATCTTAGAATTTGGGGTAATCCAGCACACGTGCTGAGGACCGATACTGATAAGTTAGAACCTAGATCGGAAGTAAGGCTGTTTGTGGGATATTCTAAGGAAACGAAAGGTGGTCTATTTTATAGTCCCGAGGACCAGAAAGTAATCGTTAGCACGAATGCAAGGTTCTTGGAGGAAGACTATGCTTTAGATCATAAGCCAGTAGTAGACATGTTCTCAAGGAAATGAAGGGAGTGAGTAATTCAATACTGAGTGCACCTGATGTTACACCACAAAGTACTGCAACACGTATCACTGATGATGCACCTGAGCAGGTAGTACCTCGTTGTAGTGGGAGGGTTGTCCGGCAGCCCAAAGGATTCATGGGTCTGGGAGAGTCTTCTAAGGTCGTCCCAGATGTTCTTGAAATCATCCCATGGACATACGATGAGGCACTCCAAGATCGGGACACAGAGTCTTGGCAAAGAGCGATGAAATCTGAGATGGAATCTATGGATTCCAATCAAGTCTGGGAACTTTTAGAACCACCCAGTGGCATACACGCCATTGGATGCAAGTGGGTCTATAAGAGAAAGAGAGGAGCAGATGGGAAGTTTGAGACCTTCAAGGCTAGGCTTGTTGCGAAAGGGTATACTCAGAAAGAAGGGATCGATTATGAGGAAACTTTTTAGTCGGTAGCTATGCTAAAATCATCAGGATTCTTTTGGCTGTAGCCGCTCATATGGATTATGAGGTTTGGAAAATGGATGTTAAGACCGCTTTTCTTAACGGGAATTTGGATGAGGATATCTATATGCAACAACTAGAAGGGGTCATTGCAAAGGGACAAGAGCATCTGGTCTGTAAGCTGAAGAGGTCCATTTATGGACTGAAGTAGGCTTCGAGGTCTTGGAACATCCGTTTTGATGAGGTTGTCCAATCATATGGATTTACCCAATGTCTGGATGAGCACTGTGTGTACAAGAAAAGTGATGGAAACATGGTGGTGTTCCTTGTGCTATACGTAGATGACATTCTTCTCATGGGAAACAGTGTGAAAATGTTATCGAACGTAAATGTATGGTAATCCAAGCAGTTTGATATGAAGGATTTGGGAGAAGTAGGTCATGTTCTCGGAATCAAGGTCATTCGGGATCGAGAGAAGAGAAAGTTGTGCCTATCCCAATCCACATACATAGATACTGTCCTAAAGTGATTCAACATGCATGATTCAAAGAAAAGGGATTTGCCCTTTCGACATGGAATCCCTCTATCTAAGAAAATGTCCCCGAAGACGCCTCAAGAGATAGAGGACATGAAGCCAATTCCTTATGTATCACCTGTAGGAAGCCTCATTTATGTGATGTTGTGTATGCGACCTGATATCTGTTATGCTGTAGGCATGGTGGCTAGATATCAGAGTAATCCAGGACCGAAACATTGGTCTGCGGTAAAACATATACTCAAGTACTTACGTAGGACTAAGGAGTACATGTTGGTTTTCCAGGCAGATGAATTACTTCTGTTGGGTTACACCGATTCTAACTTCCAAATAGACCGGGACGAAAGCAAGTCAACCTCAGGGTTTGTGTT